CTGTTCTCCCACTTGGATGGCAGAGCCCTAGCATTTGTGCCATCTGCTGCTGCCTTTCCTAGGCTCATTAGCAGGAAGCTGGATCAGCTGAGGTGTAGCAGGACTCCAACCCGCATTGGATATGGGATGTGGACATCACAAGTGTGGTTTAACCTGTTTTACCACAACACCAGGCTCCATCTTAAATATTTTCTAATTATAAACTGAATATTCTTAATTTATTAACTTTTGATTTTTAGCTAGCACATACAATTGTACATATTTATGATATACCATATGATATTTAATACATGTATATACTGTGTTATGTATCATCAAATATTTATCTTTTCTTTATGGTAGAAATATTTAACATGGTTTCTTATATTTTTAAAGAAATATGCAATACAATGTCATTATCTATAGTCACCCTACTGTAAAGGGAACACTAGAGCTTCTTAGTCCTAGCTGTAACTTTCCCAGTACCCATTAATCAACCTTTCTCCATCCTGCTTCCCCTGTGGCATCCCATTTATTAATGAGAAGTTCTGTTTCAAGAAAAGAACTAATGATGAAAATAAATAGGCAATTAGGGGTTTCTGTTACTATTTTATTTGAATTATTCACTAAGAAAATTTAACTAGCTTCATATAAAATAATCAAGTCATCTTCCTTGTAGCAAGGAAGGTCCTTGCCTTCATAGCAGCTTATATTCAAGGAGGAGAGACAGGGAGCAGACAAATAAATTCATATGTTAAAGTGAGGTTTCTTTAGCAGCTGTGAAGCAAACTGAAACAGAAGTAAATACTAGAGAATGAAAGGCTATGGGTAGTACATTAATGATAGAATCTGGGAAGATTTGGATGTGAGATTTAAGTCCTGAAGAGTGGCCTTCATTGATAAAATTTAAAATATTTGTTTATTCTTTGATCCTTTTAAATGAATTTGTATGTTATTAATTGAAGCTTTACTCATATTTGGAGCCAGTAGGCAACACATTTTTAGTTTAAAGCACTATTTGGAGCAATAATGATTTGAGGATTCCTTGTGATATCTCCATATCTCCCCTCCTTTGCTCGTAGGGCTGGAAAGCTAGGAACTACTCCTCTGAGTCACCCTATATGCCCCACGTTGTCTCTCTTCTCCCTAACACGCTTTCCTTCCTTAGTTGATCCTCTTGTTATTGTTTAAGTCATTTGTTCCCCTCACTTGAAATTACAGCCTTTGCCCAACCCTCTTCAAATTCTCTCTCACCATCAAGGTTTAGGTTTTCAAACCATAAACACCATTTTCCCTGAATTGGAAATTTGCTGCAGGCTAGGCCATGTGTTAAATGCTTTACATTCATGCTATTTATTGACAAGCTTTGGTAGTGCTTTGCAGACTAGTACATGGGGACTTGTGAGGCTCAAGAAACTTAAATTCATACAGCGTGACGATAACTGGGAAGATTCCATGGTCGCTCTGATGACTCCAGAGCCTACTACTCCAAAGTACCTTCCTGGACCATTCCAGGACTACTCCTCTTAATATGCTCTTGCTATAGAATGCTATAGGATGTACATGTCTCAGTCTTGTCCTCCTTTGTTCTGTCTGCTAATATTTTGTAGAGTTTAGTTCAGACTTCCCAAGCAGGAACACAATGGAAAAACCTACTTTGGGAAGTATAATGTTGTTGCTTTTTTTTTCTTTTTAATTTCCCTTTTATGTAATCTGAGAAGCTTAGTTAAAAATGCAGATAAAAATCTTAGAGTTCTTTAAAGTTCTTTTTACTAGAATTTATTGAGAAAGAGTCACTCCTTTGGGTATTTTACTGTTCATTAACCAAATCTTAAGCTGATAAATAATGTTGAAAGACAATATCCTGTCAATTGCCCATCACTGTACTAAGTCTTAAAATTTATATAAATCTTTAATAAGAATTATAAAAACATATAAGCCTGTGCTCTTCCAATGCAGTTTTCATAAGGAAATGGATGCAAGCAATGCACAGCAAAAATGAACAAGTACTCAAGTATAAAGATGCCTGCTGTTACCATCATTGTACCATTTATTCAACATCATAAATTTCCATTTTTCAGTGTGCTCTTTGGATCAGAACCTGCCAAAAATGATATAGTGAAAAAATAAATTTCCACATTATTTTCATATTAGAAATAATATAATTAGCTTTCTAACAGAAATTCAAATTATATGCTTTCCAGGATTGAAAGGAAAGAATATTTTTTTTTTTTTGACAGGCAGAGTGGACAGTGAGAAAGAGAGACAGAGAGAAAGGTCTTCCTTTGCCGTTGGTTCACCCTCCAATGGCTGCCGCGGCCAGCGCGCTGCAGCCGGCGCACCGCGCTGATCCGATGGCAGGAGCCAGGAGCCAGGTGCTTTTCCTGGTCTCCCATGGGGTGCAGGGCCCAAGGACCTGGGCCATCCTCCACTGCACTCCCTGGCCACAGCAGAGGGCTGGCCTGGAAGAGGGGCAACCGGGACAGAATCCGGCGCCCCGACCGGGTCTAGAACCCGGTGTGCCGGCGCCGCTAGGCGGAGGATTAGCCGAGTGAGCAGCGGCGCCGGCCAGGAAAGAATAATTTTTATCAAGTGTGTTTTAGGAGGAATCTGATCTGGGCTCTGAAGGAAGTGTGAATTTTGCTGGCTTGTTGAGTGGAGAAACCCAGTGGTAAGACTGGGAATTTGAATACAATTTGGAATGCAAAGACTTTAAAGTCAGATATTAAAAGTTATGCTTCATAAATTAGTAAATCACCGTGGATTTTCAAGATTAGTCAGAATACAATTAAGAGTTAAGATCTGAAGAAATGAAAGGGGACAATAAACATCATTAAGTAAAAAAGTGAACAGAGGAAGAGGAGCACATGTATGACTCGTGATGAAATATTCTGGACATATTGCATTTGAGGGAATTATTTGGAAGGTTTAAGAAGACACAAGGAGATGACATGGAATGTAGGGACCAAACTTGGCAGGTATCACAGTTAACTTACATTCCAGCTTGCTGCATATTTTTGATTTCTATCCACTAAAAGACATGGTTTTTAGAGGATATTTCATTACTCAATACATACATCTTTATTTATCATGGAATTTAAAACTGTCTTTTACAAGAATAGGTATTTTCTATGGAATTTAATTTATGCTTTTTCCTAGAACCACTGCTAACCTTTCTGAGATGTTGGGCCATCCTCATAAAAATTATTATTATTATTTTTTTTTTGACAGGCAGAGTGGACAGTGAGAGAGAGAGAGACAGAGAGAAAGGTCTTCCTTTGCCGTTGGTTCACCCTCCAATGGCCGCCGCAGCCGGCGCGCTGCAGCCGGCACACGGCGCTGATCCGATGGCAGGAGACAGGTACTTATCCTGGTCTCCCATGGGGTGCAGGGCCCAAGGACCTGGGCCATCCTCCACTGCACTCCCTGGCCACAGCAGAGAGCTGGCCTGGAAGAGGGGCAACCAGGACAGAATCCGGTGCCCCGACCAGGGCTAGAACCCGGTGTGGCGGCGCAGCAAGGCGGAGGATTAGCCTAGTGAGCCGCGGCGCCGGCCGCCTTCTTGGTTCCTAATCATTCATTTCCTACTTGGTACCAATGGACAAAAATGTACATAAATCATCTTGTTTTGCATCTTTTATTTATCATAAATAAGGATTACATAGAACATTTTCATTTCCTTTATTCTCTGGCCTCCTGTCAGGACCATCCTTTCCTCAAATAGGAGTTGTCAGGTTAGCTCTCTGAAAACTGGAGCTGAGTCGTGGCGCCCTCTGCTGGGGCAAGTGATACCAGTATTATAAATTCTTGACGAAGCAAACTGGACGCCCTATTCTGGTCTATTTTTCTGCTCATAGTTTACATAGGCCAGACAAATTGCAGAGCAGTTCTGCATGACTTTGTCTCAGTATTGTGACATTCAAATCTGTAGAAATCCAGATTTCTCCTTAACATAGTACTTGTTTCCTTTTCCCTCTTCTACCCAAGAAAAGTTAGCTCTCTTATCGTAGGCAGATCTTTTGATCATTTGATCACAAAGAATTTCTTTCATATCAGAGCCTTCCAGACTCTATTTTCACTCCTTTGTCATCCAAATCTGCTGTAAATTTACCCACCAGTCATTATCCGGTTGGCTACCAGAGCCCTGTATTGTTTACTCTGTGGAAACTATTTGTTCTTTTAAATAGAAAGTAGTGCCAGAGGTCTGGCAGAAGGAACTAGATTAGAACAAAGGAATGGATGGCTTTCCAATATAATGTGCTTTCAAGCTAGAAGGGAGTATTTGATAATTTCTGAAAATTTTTATTATAGGATATATTTTCATTTCTATTAGTGGTTCTTTAGCAGCTTTTTTTCCTTGCTCAAATGGATTATTGAGTCCACCTGTTCATGTCAGATCCACAGGATGAAAGTGTAACCCACTGGCCTATGGTAATAACCAGACTATGAGTCAGAAAGTAACTTTTGATGAAACTGTGAGATTTAGGTATGTATTACCACAATAAAATCTAGCCTAAGCATGACACTATATTCAGTGATGGTGTATGACAATGTTTTTTATCTGCTTTGGATGCTGCCCTTCCCAAATACCTCCACCCTTTCACCAGTCTGTCTCTGACTTCCCTTGGATTATCGCACAAGGTTTATCTCAGGGGCATTTCTTTGAAAAACAAAACGAAACTTTCTTTTATTGTCCCCAGTCTCTGTTGTTGTTTAGCTGCCTTTCCTAAATGTTCTGTAGTAATAGAAATATATGTCTGAGTGATTCTTATCGATTTATGGATCCCTGGGATAATTTTGTGCTATCTTATGCTGTCTTCCCAGGTGCATTAGCTGGATTGGAAACACAGCAGCTGGGAATTGAAGGGATACTCCTATATGGGATGCCTCCTGAATGTAATTTTTTTGGATAAAAAAAGTATAATGAAAAGTATCAACATTTGAAACATCTGTTCTTGTTGAACTAACATTTTCCAAAAGACAAACAAATGGTGATTCAAAATCATTCATGGAAAAAAAGATCTACTCAAATGCAAGATAAAGCAATGATTTTTAATTTACACTATTTGATTTTAATAGTCATAAGAATTGCTTGTATAAAAGAGCTACCTTTTCATTACTACTTCTCATTGCAAAGTTTGTTGTTTGCAAAGTTTAATTCAGTAAAATATTAAACTAAAACGTTGAAAATACTTACCAATGAAGTTCTGTGGAACTCATTAGTTTTGAGTGAATAGAAAATGCATAAACATTCATTTATAATGCATTTATCTTATTAACAAAAATTGGAGTTTACTGTTACACATTAATGAATTCTGGTTCTCAGGGCAGATGCAAGCCAGGAAGACTCTAAGTCCAAGATGGACTTCTGGCCTGTGTTCACATGGAACAATTCAACTGTTATGGAAACTGCATCTGATCTTAGAAACATGATACTTCTGGTTAGTCACTAGGATTCCTCTTCCTAACTATGCCCTAACTACGCCCATTCTCAAAACCAGTTCCTTAAGTTTCCTCTTCCCCTTCCATGAATCTTCAACTCTTCTAGACTGCTCTGGAAGAAGGTAGATTTACTGATTTTGTTATCTGTCGTCTTTCTTTAAGACAATGCATGATTTCACAGGAGGTTACCCAATACAAAAGTGTACATGGCATCATGGCATTGTGATCAAAATTGGGGCATTAACACTCATGAAACATGGATTAGTTTCTTTCTATTCATATGCCTTTCTTTTGAGAAACTCCTTGACATGTTTTATTTTTCAATTCCTGCACAGCCTGCGTTAAAAATAACAATGCATCTTTTTATCAAGCATTTCCATTTATGGCAAATGAAAGCAAAAGAAAACTGCACAGTTTAGAACTTCCAAGTGTTCTCCTCTATTTGCATTATCAAGTGGCCTCCAGTTTCCAGTCAAGATGAGACCATCTGGGTAGCTAAGTTTCTCTCTTCTCTTCCACAGCTCTCACCGGCTTGGGTATATCCCTCCCTTTTAAGTAATGTTTAATTAACCTGTAGCTGAGCTCTTTAAAAAGGAAGGAAATTTATAGCTAGGAAATTTGATTTTCTGTGTTAGTCTGTTTTGTTCTGCCACAACAAAATACACAGACTAGGTCATTTGTCAAAAGTAGAAAATATTCTTGTGGTTCTGGAAGCTGAGATACCTAAGATCAAGGCATTGGTAGGTTTGCAGTTAGGATAGGGCCTCATCTCTACTTCCACTTTTCCTCTGCATCTCCCAGAGGGAAAGAAGGCTGTTCTCACATGACAGAAGCACGGAAGATCTGAGAGGGCAAAAGGAAGATGAATGTACTATTTTATAAGGAATCCACTCCATCATCATGGCATTAATTAACTCATGAAGGCAGAGCCCTCACAACCCAATCATCACTGTAGGCTGTCATCTTCTAATGCAGTCATATGTCACTTGCTTTGAGAAATTCATCCTTAGTTGCTTGACTCCTTCTTCTGAGACCTGCTAATGCCATTCCTGTTTGAGTTAGCTCCGTACTGTCAACTATCTGCGATCCCAGATCGTCTACAATTACTGCAGCCTAGTCAACCTTCAACTGTGGGCCTCCCTGTACCTTACTCTCTGAATATCTTTTCCACCAGCAAGACATATTTTGTACAGTGTGGGCCACTTCAGCCAGTTGACAAATGAAAATTTCAAGGGTGCCCAGCATCCATGGAAGATGCAAAAGTCATGTGGGATCCAAGCCTTCTGCCAAGCAGTATAGAATCTGTTTCAGAATGAGTGGGGCAACAGCCTGGATGTCATGGAAGCTGCCTTTTCCCTGGAGATGAACCTGAACCAAAGCCTACTCTATCTGCACACCTTACACTTTGTATGCCCAGACTTGTACCTCTGTGGCTTTCTGGAGGAACAGTTCCTAGATAGGGAAATTCATGCACAAGATTGGTGACCACCTGACTAACTCCATAGGCTGGAGGGGCCCAACCTGGGCTGGATTGGCCTCACTACCTCAAGCATGACCAGGAGCCTCCTATCTCCACTGACTTTCAAATGACTCTTAATACACCTTGTCTGAGGTTTCTGGTTGTTAAACCTCCACAAGCCAGAAGAGTGAAAATAATGCTTCTTATTATAGAAAAAGAGGATGAGGAGAAGGGGGAGCAGGAAGTGGAGGAGGAAAGAAAAGAGAAGAGTCACTTGCAAACTCAAGAAAATATAGAGAAACTGAAAGGGAAAATGTCATTGAACAAAGTTTGCTTACAAGTTTTTTAAGTAAAGAATATTATGAATTTTCATGGTTCATAGCTACTTTTTCAAAATATGTTACAAGAAATTTCCAAAGACATTTGTATCAACATTGTAGAATTGCTGTAGTTTGTCTCTGTTAGTCTGAAATCTGTTGTTTTGCTGATAGTCAAATTCTTTCACAATGATGGCAAAAATTATGAAGAACACAGTACAATAAGAGATTATAACTTAATGCCTCCATTCAGACCAAGTTTAAGTCACAATCACAGTACAACATGAAGGTATAAGCAGGTTCTAACCCAACCTTGTTAAACATTGGTTCCAGTCTCACAGTGCAGCCTGCTGGTTTATCACGGGTAAAGACATACTTTCCTAATTCTAAAACATCTGAATGATAAAACCAAGAGCTTTATGCTGTGGTGAGATACCCAGCATGTAGATTAATGAAATAGAAAGCAAATAGTATTACAATAGTCTATTTTTAATGGCAGCACTTTTTTTGCTTAGACCTTTATGGGCCAAAAATGAAATTTCTTGTTTTGTCTTATTGAGTCTACTTAAAATAAAAATTTATAAATATGTCCTCAGGACCACAATTCTTTCAAAAAGGTCATGGTACACCCAAGTTCAAAATACATGTTAAATAATGCTTAGGAGCAACAGGTGAAAACGGCCTGTGATGGTTGCTACAAGATGCTTTGCTTTTCTCTTAGAGACCAGTCTTGGAGGCAATCCAGTTGCGGTAGGAGGTCACTCGTGTGTAGACCCCGGGCTTATTGAGTTGGCCACATTCAACTCCCCAGCTCACTATTCCAACAAGGTACCAGATATTTCGAGAATTGGGATGAACCAGTGGCCCTCCAGAGTCACCCTAAATAAAACAAAGAATTATGAAAACATTTTATGTAACACTAAATGGTTAGCCTAGAAGAACATGTAAGTGATTAATCTTTCCTAGAGACAATAGGATGATGTATTATGTAAATCTCTGTATCCTCCTTAACCTCAATTGTGGCAGACGAGAATATGTTCTCAGGGACTCTGATGCTTACCTGAAACTGGAAGTCATAATATGGTGTGTTACAAGCTCTAGTTCTATAAGAAAGATTCCGGTAGATGCATGATATGAAAATATTTGAAATTCAGGACTTTGTATCTGATGAAAGGAGCCATGGTTCTAGTCATGAGGAGAATAAGAAAGTAAGAGGAATTTGGGTTTGGACTGAAAGTAATGGAACTATTCCTGAAACTGGTGCTTTTTGAACTGTGGTTAAGAGCATAGATTGTGATGCTAGACACCCTGGTTTTTCATGCCAGTTTTGCTGAATATGAGGTTTTGTGACTTTGTGCATATGACTTAAGTTTCCTCTGCCTCAGATTCCTCATCTACAAAATGAGAACAATGGTAGTATCTAAATTGTAAGACTGTAATCAGGATTAAATGAAGTAACATTTGTGAAGGACTTAGGACAATGCATGACTCAGACTACGTCCAACTTCAGGGTTTGTCGGACATTTATAAGCACATGTTGCATGTAGGAGTTTTGGTTATCACAAAGTTGACAGGAACATTGATGGATTGTCAAAGTGAAAATTAGTTGAAGCATAGAATTGCCTACATATTGGTGATTTACATGAAATACTAGCAGTTATTTTTTGTACTGTGTGTCCATATGAGTAATGTCCAGAATTACCTGGCAGGCATCAATATTTCCTTCCATGTACCCCGCACACAGCATTGTGTCCAGTATCATACCATTGTACGCTTCTCTGGCATTACAGGTGTTTGTGTCAATAATCTTCACAGGTGCTTTCTGAAGCAACACGGGGAATTCGTCTATGGGAAGTAAACATTATTAGCACAAGAGTTGCTCTGACACACATTAAGATAAAAAAAAAAAAACTCCCTTTGTCCTCTGAATGTGAAGCCGACATTTGCTGCTTATTCTTAAGTTGAAAAAACACATTTCTTTACTCAGATCAATGAAAAAGAATCAAATGATCATCTGAAACATCTTTCCAGGGTTTTCTTTCATTGTACTTATCTCTCTTCTTACATTTTTGAACCAGAACTTTCTAAAGATTCTCCAGGTAAGGAAAGCTCCTTATCCAAACCAGCTTCCTTGGAATGTTCCACACCCCTGATGTTTGCCAAATCATCGACTCCATGGGCATCATTCATTCCCTGAGAGATGGCCCGGGAGCTCTGGGCATTCAGAGGTAACTGATACTTTTGACTCTGTACCTAGATGTCTAATTTTTCTTGTTGCTTCTGTACTTTGCACAACATACAAAGGTGTATATTATAGACTTACCACCATCATATATAAATGCTCCCCATCCTGTAACAACAACTCCTTCACCTGGTGAGAAAACCTGTGTGGCTTCAGGAAGACAAACTCGGTGTACATCATTCGTAAATGAAACTTTTTCAGTGAGCAATATAATTGCAATATCATCATGATGTTCACCCTTGATATAGTTTTCATGAATAATGATTTGTTGAACATAACGTTGCATGTAGGGGGGTATTACTTCAGTGCCAAAGCTGACAGTAAAGTTTCTTGGATTTTTGGTCCTAAAGAAAGAAAAATCATGTTATTTATTTCAAAACAATAGGAATACTGCCTTCTAATGTAAATTGTAGAAATTCTGCATTCACTGTACACTTTGCACTAGTATTTCCTTGCTCTGTAGTTCACTAACAATGATACAATATGAGTTTTAATTAATTTAAAATTTCTTGCTTGAGTTCCTAAAACATATACTATGTAAGGCAATGAAGATAAGAAGTGAAAGTAAATAGCCAATCCTAGAAACTTAAGTCTAAAGACAGGCATAAACATAGCAGCTATAATAATTGTTTAAATGGTTTGTATATAATAGGTAGAACCATCTAATCTTCCCTGGAAGACTTCTCAGGGAAAGTGGTATTTTGGATCAGACTACATTTGCCTAAAAGATGGGGGACATGGGGATGGGGAAGGGGGAAGAAGGTGGCTATGTGCCAAGAGGATGTATTAATGGGCAATCTGAGATGTCTAGAATACAAAATGATAAGAAATAAGAATCATGTGAAGAAAAAATGTAGTATCCAAAATGAGTGACTCTTTCCATTTTTCTTGGTAAGATAGGAAGCCTTATGTTTACTATATGATTTGTCTGAGATTTTTGGGAATGAGAGGGACTGATCCTGCGAACTGAACAAGGATGAGAGGCACAAATTCAAACTGCCCCACGGCCTGTGGTGCCCCCATCCTTTGGCAATGTGAGGATCTTACTTTTGAAAGCAGTGAGCCGCAGTCACCAGGTATCTCTCACTGATCAGCGACGCCCCGCAGTAGTGTCGGCCATCCATCTTGAGACTAGCTTGCCACGGCCATTCTCCTTCCTGAGCGTTGGAGCCTCCCTTGATTCTATCATACGTAGCTGACATCTTTGCTCGTCTCCCACAGCCTGTGAAAAATGGTCAATTTTGTTCCATTGAGAATAGGAAGATACTGTTGATTTGATTGTGAAGCTGAGAGTGAGCTGGGCTGTTCTTGTTTGCACGTATCTGTCACCATCTTGCAGTAACAGGAGCAGAATGCGATCTCTATGGGAGTCACTAACGGCCCCCAAATCATCCCAGACCCGGCATCTGGGCTCCAAGACACTTCAGCCCCTGGACAACAGGTAAGCCACGGGAAGCAATAAAATCACAGTGAACTCCATGGGCTGGGCAACCGGATTTCCTGCATTTCAATTTTGACTTCACCATTTACAAGATGAATTAATTGGGCACCATCTCTGTTCTTTGTGCTACAGTTTCCTGTTACCCAAATGGGATGATAATCATATCTATCTGTGAGTTCATTATGAGGAGTAAGTGGATTATTGTATGCAAAGTACTTAAAACTATGCCTGCTCAAGAGTACCAAATCTTAACTGTTAAGTTTCAGGTGATCTCACATAGTTAATTAAAAATTTATGAACTTACGGTTGTTGATAATCCTTTCAGCATCAACCTTACTGATTTCTGAAATAGAGCAAAACATCCATGGTAAATTTAACACCCAGCACCACTGACCCTGGGGCACTGGGGTAGGATGATAAGTTCGGCAGAGCAGGAAGGTCTAGAAATATTTGGAACTTCAGGATACAGTGGGCATAGAAAGGACAGGATATTGGTTTATTGGAATTTTTCTCATACTACGGGTGAATGCACAATATGGAAGTACCGTCTTTGTAGTTTCTCATGAGAGACATTTTTGTTTAATTGGAACTGCATTCTATTTCATGTAAAGAGGAAAAATTGCAAGTATTATTCATATGTACAAGTCTTAAAAAGTGATCCATCTTAAAGCAGCAAATACAACACTGCTTTTGAAAACTGTAGGACATGGTGAAAAGAACTGCAAGAGAAATCACTGCTTATGGGAACTGTGTAAAGCATTCATATCTGCCTCAGGATGAGAAGCAGCTCTTCCACCCATCAAACACAAGGTGTGGCGTTACTATGATTTGAATGCATTGTTAATGATGAGGAATACAAATAATTGCTCTGATCCCAAATCATAACTTGTTCATTTAGTAAAGTTATTGAATACCAGCCCTGTGCCTGTTTGAGACACGTATTACTAATAATATAATGTAAGTTATGCTGCTCACATCCCGTACATGTGCTTACCCATGAGGCTCAGAGAGTTCGGGTCTGTAGTCAAGGATCCTGAGTCGCTCCTCAGCATCTGACGTAAGATGCTTTCGATTCTTCTTCTTGTGTTTTCCTTATTTGATGTGGTAGACTTGAAGACCAGCCATATATGTGCTGTCACACTGTTGTTATCAGGACTGGAAAAAACAAAGTTTTCATATGTTGTTAGACATAGTCCTTACTTCTTCTTTCCATGATCTTTCAGGATTCCTTTTCTCTTATATAGGTTTGTACAGTACTAGATTAAGCATTGGATCAGCCAACTACCAATGTTTACTTGGTAACAGTGTACATACCACTATATTATTCAGTTTAGAGATTTTTTTTTCCTGCAAATCCGAGAGTAGGGAAAGCCTGCTGCAAAGGGTAACAGTATCTCCTAAGAGCTAGCTTAATTTATTCTTGTATTCATTAGTACTTTACTGAGAAATTGCTATAAAATACCTGTGATTATTACTTTTGGGTGATGCAAGGTTAACTAACAAATGGTTCCTATGCCCAAGGAAATTCCAGACTTTTCAGAGAGACAAGACATCTACACAAATGGCTTTAACAAATGGGGCAGAAGCAATTTATCTTGTTTATTTACCTTAATTAGAGATATTCTGAGGAAGAACAAGCAATTTTTTGCCTAAAGGATCAGAGAAATTTTCAAGGGAGAAGGGATATGCATCCCAGAATTTAGAGTGTTTTTCATTTCTATTTCATCCTCAAGTAACACATTTCTTGTAGCAGATAAGCAGAGGAATCATACTCCAGAATAACTGGAAGGCAACAATATTCTTCAGCAGTTATTGAGCATCTGCTACATTCCAGGCACTTTGCTATCATATTTATTAGTACACTTGACCTCTAAAACAATAATGCAGCAAATACAACACTGCTTTTGAAAACTGTAGGACATGGTGAAAAGAACTGCAAGAGAAATCACTGCTTATGGGAACTGTGTAAAGCATTCATATCTGCCTCAGGATGAGAAGCAGCTCCTTCCACCCATCAAACACAAGGTGTGGCCATTATTTTTGCTTTACAGATAGGAAAAATTGAGGTTATATAGTGCGTTCACAAATATGTGGCTACCACACTGGAATTCAGATTCACTGCAGTTGACTCCATCATTTGAGCAATACGCACTGTGTTCTCTGTCACTCTATGCCAAGGCACCCAGTGACTACCGTGTCTAGGAAACTGGGTTCAGATAGAGAAGGGTCTTTAATGGTAGCCAATTGACAGCAGTGATAAGAAGCTATTGAATAAAACTGTGCTTGTGGAAGATTAATCTGACTGTGGTATTCAGGCTTGCAATTGGGAAAAAGGTATGAGCTCAAGAGACAGGCCAATGAACATGTAGACATGGCCACAGAGCACTGAGGCTAGCATATGAAGTGGCATGATATCTTTGAGTCTACCTATGGGGTGTCCAACATTTTGACATGTAAATCAATAATAATTCTTGGGAAGCTCTCAAGACACATGAGCTTGGCTGTCGTGGTAGTGTATGCCAGAGTGAAAAACTGAACTGTGTCCTCTCCATTTCTTTTTCTTGGCCATTGCTGTCTATCCCTGAACTTACATGCTGGGAAAAACAGCATAGAATCCTTGTGACTGCAGTCACCTCTGAGGGATTACTGGACTCTTCTTAGTTTTCCCTTTATTTCCAATACTAAAATTGACCCCCAAGTTTAATTCTAGTTGGGATTAATCATTCTATAATTCCAGGAGACAGCATGAATTCCAGGAGCAAAGGAAGAGGAGTGGACAGTGTCTGATGGCACTGATGGAGGTCAAAACAATAATCACCTTTTTTTGAAATATCTTTCTTTGCAAATATTTATACACATTAAATTTTTATCCTGAGTACAATTCTATAAGCAAAGCAGAATGGTCATTATTATAAGCACTTCATGAGAGAGAGAAACAGACTCAAAGTGACACAATAGCTTGTCCAAGACTCTATGGCTACCAAGTGGCCATGACTGGGGTCAGGTTGTTTAAATCCTATTCTAAAGATGCTTTTGCTATTCCATCTGCTCCAAACCTGCACACAGCAAAAAATATCATAGTTATTGTACTTTTATCATGGTGACTAGATGGTTTTCCTATTTCAACCCTGGTGTGGATATCCTCTCTTCTAACCTATATCTTTTTTTTTTCTTTTTTTAACTTTTATTTAATAAATATAAATTTCCAAAGTACAGCTTATAGATTACAATGGCTTCCCCCCCATAACGTCCCTCCCACCCGCAACCCTCCCCTTTCCCACTCCCTCTCCCCTTCCATTCACATCAAGATTCATTTTCGATTCTCTTTATATACAGAAGATTAGTTTAGCATACATTAAGTAAAGATTTCAACAGTTTGCTCCCACACAGAAACATAAAGTGAAAAATACTGTTTGAGTACTAGTTATACCATTAAATCTCAATGTACAGCACACTAAGGACAAAGATCCTACAGGAGGAGTGAGTGCACAGTGACTTCTGTTGTTGACTTAACAAATTGACACTCTTGTTTATGGCATTAGTAATCACCCTAGGCTCTTGTCATGAGCTGCCAAGGCTATGGAAGTCTTGAGTTCACCGACTCTGCTCATATTTAGACAAGGCCATGGTCAAAGTGGAAGTTCTCTCCTCCCTTCAGAGAAAGGTACCTCCTTCTTTGATGACCCATTCTTTCCACTGGGATCTCACTCACGGAGATCTTTCATGTAGTTTTTTTTTCCCCCAGAGTGTCTTGGCTTTCCATGCCTGAAATACTCTCATGGGCATTTCAGCTGGATCCGCATGCCTTAAGGGCTTATTCTGAGGCCAGAGTGCTGTTTAGGACATCTGCCATTCTATGGATCTGCTGTGTATCTCACTTCCCATGTTGGATCGTTCTCTCCCTTTTTTATTCTATCAGCTAGTATTTGCAGACACTATTCTTGTTTATGTGATCCCTTTGACTCTTAGTCCTATCATTATGATCAATTGTGAACAGAAATAGATCACTGGGACTAGTGAGATGGCATTGGTACATGCCACCTTGATGGGATTGAATTGGAACTCTAACCTATATCTAATAAGAACTCTAGAAGCAGTTCCACAAAGCATTTCATTGATTTCCAAGAAGAATGGTAAGAGAAAATAAGGTATGTATTTATGTGATTGGAAATAAAAAATTTTACAGCATCAAATAATAGTTTAGGGATCATCTGATGTTTTCTATACATAAATACTTAGAAAACTAGAAGGACAAATCATCTGTAATTTGAAGATTAATATATTCTTAATAGTGGTAAAAATAAAGGAAATGTTATTTAAAAAAAATATATATATTCTTAATAGGCTTGATGACTCAACTAAATAACTCCAAACATTGCATTGATTTATATGGAACAATTAATCTGATATTTATGATAATGTTAGGTAAGCAGTTTATTGGCTAATGAGCATCTGTTATCAATAGATTTTTTTTATAGAAGAACTTGAAATGCAATGGTTTCTCTGCAATGGTTTCTATGATGGGTTGATCTATTTTCTGGTGGTTAGTGTTATAGTTACTTACACCAGTGTTGTGACTTGAGAATTGATATATTGTCTGTAAATATTAGAACGTTGAAATGCATCAGTCATCTGTTAAAAGAGAACATAGAGTCAAATATCAAATTTCAATAGTATATCTATAATATCTATAATAAATAATGAAAAAAATAGAAAAATACGAACTTACCCTGGTCTCAAGGATTTTGCTAAGATAGTTATTTTCTGGTGATGTCTCCCTTTCATAATTCCTATTATTTGGGATATCCAACACTTTAAAGCTACCTTGATAGTAATAGGTCTTGTTTTCTGTAAGATAAGAAATGATTTAAGAACCAATAAAATTAAATGGATTCCAAATCCAGATCTTGATTATAAAGTAATACAAGGTTAAAAAAAAGTACAAGGTAGTATGTAGGAGGCTTATATTAGATATTGATAAACCCTTGTGAATATTTCTGGTATAGTTTAATAGCCTGGGCATTGTGGGAAGTTTTTATAGGACCTACATATAATAGGACCAACTACATACATATATACACATATATATAAATAAAATATACACACACATATACACATGCATGTATATGTACATATACATATAATGAGAATTCTGCTGCAATAATGAATTACCAGAATAAAATAGTTATAATTTATTAAGCATGTACTATATGCATACCTTAGAAAGACTTTATAAAGTATACTCATTTATCAGGACTGTAGTCTCATAGAGATTAAGTTATTTGAGCAATACCACACAGCTACTTAAAGGAGTCAAGGGTCAAAACTCAAACTATCTGACACCAAAGTTTACAGACACTAAACAAATTAATGTATTTATCTCTTTTCTTGAATATATGATGGGTGTTAAGCATCTAGGAATACATTTGCTAGATGCTGTTCAGGAGTTCCTGACAAATAATAAATAGTAAAATAGTTAATATTATTTTACAGTGTGATCACTGCTTTGAAACTCTTTTTGTGGAGGAGACAGGCTCAATATGTATAAGACCATTACAAGGCTACTAAAAGGATATAATTAATGATGAAGGTGATTTTTTTACTTCAAGGTCTATATGAATAAAGAAAAAGGAGACATTATTTTCAAAATAAATTATAATTTTATTTTAAATGATAAGCTATTATATATCAAGAAAAGTTATGGAAAAAAGAAGTCAGAAAGTCCTAAGAAAAATTCTGAAAATGGTTGATTGAAATTATTTATTAAGTAACATTGTTAACTGAAGTTATCTTGCCTGAGGGTCATGGATTTTTGTAATATAGAGAGAGATTAAGCTTTACAATGGTAGTTTATTAGGCTATAGGAGAAGTAGCAAAAATCAGACTTAAAACTATTCTACTTCTTTTGCATAATCCAAAGTTCACAATGCACCCTTTAATTCTTTGGATGAATTATTTCTACTTTTTACAACTTTAAGAAACCATGAATATTCATTCATATAAATTACTACATTGGAAGATATTAATAGCCTTTATTATAATAGAATGGAGTGCTTTTCCTAGAATGATTGAATCAACTGAATATTTGAGATATTTAAGACTAAGAAACCATATCCCAGAATAAGGAAATCAACTCTGGAGTAGTCTATTCTTAATTTAATTTTAGGTAGTAGTTTTTATGGGATACTAAAATTGCACACTAATTATGCTGAGAGGTCATGGTGAGCATGGCCATTGTGCTGGGTGGGTACCTGATGACCTGAAGATAAGCACTTGGATGAGAATATCCATAAGGCATACCTGCATTGTGTGATTAATATTGCAGTTTCTCTAAGTCATTCAAATGCCAGAATGAATTAAGATGGATCAGGAAGGAGGCAGGAAATAACTTCACAATATTTTCAGGACTTTTTACTTAGAACTTATATCTGGGAAGAAAGCCTGAAACACATATATTTGCTTTTCTTTTGTACGAAGGGTGCTCTGGGTGAAATATCAGGATTGAAGTATGAATTATGAGAAGACTTCTATTTATTTTGACAGAGTAAAAGCCCTTCTACAATCTCCTACCTACCTCCAAGCCCAAAAAAATAACAAAAGATAAGGATAACAGGCTCAAGTCCCAGGCCCCCCACCCCCCCAAAAAAAGCCATAAATTCCCACCAAAATCTATGAAGTAAACATGATCAAAATGTGAAAAATACACTAAAATGAGGACTGTTATAGATAAGGGGCCAGCACTGTGGTATAGCAGATAAAGACACTGCCTGCAGAGCTGGCATCACATGTGAGCACCAGTTTGAGTCCTGGTTACTCCACTTCTGACCTAGTTCCCTGATAATGTGCCTAGGAAAGCAGCAGAAAATGGCCCGAGTGCTTGGGCCCCTGCACCCTTGTGGGAGACCCAGAAGAAGCTCCTAGCTCCTGGTTTTGACCTGGCCCAGGCTTAGCCCCAGTCATTGCAGCCATTTGGGGAGTTACCAAATGAATGGACAATCTCTCTCATTCTGTCTCTCCCTCTCTCTCTGTAGTTCTGCCCTTCAAACAAATAAAATAAATCTTTAAATTAAAGAAAAGGGGCCGGTGCCATGGCTCACTTGATTAATCCTCCACCTGTAGCGCAGGCAGTCCATATGGGCACCGGGTTCTAATCCCGGCTGCTCCTCTTCCAGTCCAGCTCTCTGCTGTGGCCTGGGAGGGCAGTGGAGGATGGCCCAAGTCCTTGGGCCCCTGCACCCGCATGGGAGACCAGGAAGAAGCACCTGGCTCCTGGCTTTGGATTAGTGCAGCGTGCCGGCCATGGTGGCCATTTGGGGAGTAAACCAACGGAAGGAAGATGTTTCTCTCTGTCTCTCTCTCTCACTGTCTATAACTCTACCTGTCAAATAAAAAAAAAAAAGAAAAGAAAACACCTGGCCCAAATCACAAAAGGTATATAATACTGACAAAAGAACCAATAGATGTTAGAGACAAAAATATCAAAAATAAGAAAGTCTATAAATAAAAACCAGAAAAAGAATTATCAGAGGAACGGAAGTTCTCATAGTATCAAAGATATTGTAGACAAAAAAATAGCTCATCTGAGCAAATAATATTCCAGCAATAGTTTAGAGATTAAGAAACAGGTTAACAGGAGGAGGAGAAGCTAGGCTGCAGAAGCAATGTAAAGATAGGTGGCGGGCCAATTAATGGCTGCTTTACACAGTGATCAGCCATCAAAGAGACCCAACAGGCCAGCCCACTTCCTTGGTTTTCAATGTGGAAAGCCAGGCTTCAGTAGAAGTCAGCTTATAAAGAGCCCTGGCAGTTATGCCAAGAGTTGGGTCACTGGAAATGAACCTGCCCTGGAATCGAAGGGCTCCAGGTCAGAGCCACAGGCCTTGTTCTCTCTAAGCTGAAAAGCCCTTCACTCGGCCCAGCTTCTAAAGTAACCACTGCTATGGAGGGGATGGCCAAGTAGGGTCAACAACATTGCAGGCAGAACATATATTAACTAAAAATGTTTTCCTTTTAGAAATGCCAAGTCAGCTCTCCTCCCAGGCCAGCTAGGTAATGGAAGTCAAGAGGGTGCCTCCCTTATTACGTACCATATGTGAAGAGATAAGTCTGAGCCTCATAAGTGGCAAGGCCTTAAAGCCCAACAGATTATTCTCAAGCCCTTTCTGTCAGTTTGTATTTGCCTCTCAATGGTTTAGACAGTTTTCTTAGGGCCTCTAATAATGACTCTGTCCTTGGTTTTAGATCCTGTGAGTTTAAACTGGTTGTTAGATTTATTTTCTCCAGAATTAAAAAAGCAAAATTCTAGGTGGCCATGTGCATGAAACCTCAAGTGGGAGCAGTTTCTGCAAGCTGGCACTGCATCCCCCTGGAGAAGCCACGTCCTGCTGGAACCCTGTCTTGATCCCCCTTCCCAAAGATGCCCCTTTTCAGCATGAAGCAGCCAGAGCGATCATAGCCCAGTTCCCCCTACCAGATGCTAGGGTTTCCATCCCAGAGGAGGGAATGTGAGGAGTCAGATGGGTTAGTAGATAGTCAGGGGATCCCAGTGGAATTTGGGGTGTAAAATATTAGCTTCCCTCCCCAAAATGTTATCTTTAGCAAGGACAAACAGACTGCCCTCCTTCCTTCAGAATCTCCAAGTTTACCATGAGAATAGCAAGGGAGTTCTTCCTGAGCTCACAGCTTATTGTTAAAACAAGTTACCTATGCCACCCTTAGCAGGCATAAGGGTCAAGAATAAAAGCCAATTAGGTAAAAAAGATGATTTTGATAAACACAGCTAAATAAATCTTTCAAAATCCCCTTAAAATGAGAAGAAAAGTGTTTGAGTTTGATTTTGAAAAAGTTGAACCACAAAAATAATGATGATGCAAGAGAAGACAATGCCTCCACTGTGGAAACTGGAGGCAGGTGAGTGGTTACTAGTCTACCGAACTCAAGAAATGTTCAGTGTGCCCTTCAGAAGCAAAGAACCCTAAATGGCACCAAGTACTTTAAAAGGTAAGGGTAAAGTGGAATTAAAACCAGGAAAATTGGTTAAAACTGCTAGATCCCAATACCTTCCACAATGTCTATGATTTTAGATCAGGGAAAATGAGGTATAGTTGAAGTCAGGTGCACCATATGCAAAATTTCTGTATTGAATCTTCCCAAATTGACTACAGAAACTGAACAGCAAATGTTACATCCAAGCTAAGCAAGGGAGGTTTTTTTCTCCAACTAGAAATTCTGACTAACTCAAGATAAAAGACTTGATACTCTGGTAAGTTGGGTTTTCTCAACAAAACAACTGAGAGAGCAACAATAGTAAAAGCCATTATCAACAGACAGCCCTCACATGGGACACTTCCATCTAGCTCTTTAATTCTCACTCTTAACATTAGCAGACACCAAAGGATCAACATATATTTGAGAAATTTTTGGCTAAATAATCAGAGAAAATCTTAGTCAAGAAAAAAGACTACTTGGGTTAAATTTTTAATATATGTTTATACACAGGAAATTTTTTTTAATAATTTACATCAAACTATTTTACAACAAAAAGTTGATTATAGAAAATAGTTTAGAATCTAAATACATAATAGTAGAAACAATGGAACTGATATAAAATTTAAAATGTAAAATTGAGAAAAATCATCAAGAAACTGATTTGATTAAGGGATGAAAAATAGGAAAAGATAAGAAAATTAGAGGCTACTTTTTGGAGGCCCAATATAAAGAAAATAGGAGCTCCAGAATGATTTTGAGATAGTGAAATCATCAAAGAAATCATCTAAGAGGCTGGAATTGTGGTGTAGCAGGTAAACCACTGCCTGTGACGCTGGCACTACACTTTCCCAAAAAGTTCCAAGAGTATATCTGCTATATTAAATTGAGTGAATAAAATGATAAAACATATAGAAAAATGGAATTCACACATTGGGGATTAAACCCAACAGATACTTGAAGGCAATCCTCAGGAGGCTGCAAATGGAAAACCCAAGAGAACATCCATGTTGTCAGAGTATGGTGAAATAGGCTCATCTGTCATAGGAAAAAGTGAAGGGAGAATGACACAAACTGGAAAAAATAGGATATAATGATATTGAGAATAAACTACAGGGCTGAGAGTGGTTGCCTCTGAGAAATGGGAGATAGAAATAGTGGAAGAGGAATTAAATTTTTTTTTCATTAAAAGCCCTTATTATTTGACCCTTTAATCTATTTTTGCATCTAGTTTTGAAGGGGAAAAAAGTACCTGTGCATGGCGAAGACAAGGAAAAAAGATTGATGGTGAGCATATGTATTTAAAATCTAAACAGCTATAGCAATTTTGTTCATAAATCAGAATAAACTTTTGTAAACACTGACTATGTAAGAATAATATTGTGAACAAACTACTGGGAAATGTGGGAACAAATAAGAAATGTAAATATAATGATTTTCATGTGTTTCATAATAGAATATAAATGAATCTAAAGTTAAACCATGTCTTATTAAAAAAGACTCCAACTTCATCAAAGTTTAAAAAACGTCTGTTAAACAGTTTTTATATTAATGTCTCTATTGTTAAAAAAATCAAAATTCAGTATCCATTGATTTCTCTTCTCACATTCAACCAATGTAATATTTTGATGATAAAATAACACATATACTACCACCTTGGTAGAATTATCTTTATCCTTATCAATTCTACTTGTGCATTTGTATGTTGTTCTGAATAGGTATTCACTCTTTTACCTGTGTATATTAAAAGAAATGTCTGCAATGCAGTGTTTGGCCAATGTTACCAATGCTTGTTTATGGGATCTAGAGTTGCTGATGTCATCTTAAAGCAAGATAATTTACTGCTTATCTTTCATAGAAATGGAAATAATTATTATTAAAAATAAAATAAGTAAAAATATACAATTTACCAACCTACTGCCAGAAAATGGACCAGGAGACCAATAGTAATTCCAAGGATTGCCAAGACTCCAAACACAATGAGAGCAATCATCCATAATGGCAGAGATGTCCGGGAAGCTGTGACTGGTCTGCACATGAAGAATGTGAAAATGAGGAATAGGTTAGAAAATTGCATAGTCTTTCAAATCTGTGTTTCATTTCTCTTACCCCTAATAGCTCCACAACTTAGTCACAATGATAGCAAAAGATATTGGAAGGTAGGAAAAAAAAAAAGAAAAGAAAGAAGAGGAAGTGAGAAGGAGGGAAGGTGCAGATATTCCCTTTGAAGTTTCTGATTGAACTTGGGTTATGAGAGTTTATTTGTTTTACTGTACATGTTTTATTAAATTTTTTTCAGAAGTGTGGCGGTTGGTGCCAAGCTATCTATATTTGGCATCTAGTTTCTCCCTACAATCTATGGGTAGAGATATAATCAGCATCAACAATTGACCATCTTGCCAGATCAGGAGAAAAGGGGGGAGGGGGGGGACAGAAATCTCTTAGATGTTCTTTATGCCTAAATCCATCTTAATTTTAAAAAATATGACTTGGATCATATTACCACTTATAATATCCTTAAGTATTAGAGTGCTTTGATAAGTTTATTTGCATGCAAAAAAATTGAAATCCATGCCTAATCTTTTTGTTGCATATATTTTCCATGAAAAATTCGAACATCCTTCATATACGTATGTCTCTAATTCTAGATCCTATTGGTTGTTTCACTAGGGATCTCTGACTGCTACAAAGAGGTAGCAACAAGATAGACTTGATATCATACCAAGATTTTGTCTTCTATGTTGGGCTTCTTCAGGTGTTACTGGACGATGATCTCAATCAGAATCATCTGAAGCTGCTTAGTATACATACAGATTGTGGAATCCTACCCTGCTTTGGGTGAAGTTGAATTCCTGGAAGGACCTAGAATTTGCACTTGACCATTCGTGGGGATGGAAATTCTCACTATATTATGTGCTATTTTCACAGTAAAATATGTTGGAAAATTGACATTTTGAGAATCAATGATTGTTTATAGCCCTTGTTTCTACTGTTGAGGAACAGCATTTTTTTCTTCATACTCTCTGTTGAACTCTACTTAGTGTAGGGTTAATCTTATGGGTATAAAGTAAACTGAAAATAGATCTTTGTAAAAATTAAGAGTGGGAATAGGAGAGGGAAGAAGAAGAAGGGTAGGAGAGTTGATAGGAGGGAGGGTAGGGTGGGAAGTATGTTCCTAAATCTGTATATACAAAATACATGAAATTTGTACGCCTTAAATAAAATTTTTAAAAAGCTTACTTGGGTACAAAAATTTTGAAATACATGCAGTGTTTTCTTTTTTATTTATATAAAGAGAATGAATTTCATGTATTTCATATATATAGTTTTAAGAGCATAATGATACTTCCCACCCACCCTTGCTCCCACCCCCCTCCTCCCTCCTCCTTCCTTTCTTACTTTTTATTTTAATTATTATAATGACATACTTTCAATTTACTTTATAATCACAAGTTTAACTCCAATAAAGAATCCAACAAGGGGCAGCACTGAAGTATAAAGCCACTGCCTGCAATGCCATCATCCCATATGGGTGTTAGTTGAAGTCCAATCCAGCTCTCTGTTAATCACATGGGGAAATCAGTGGCAGATGGCCAAATTATTTTGGCCCTGCCACCCAAATGGGAGACCTGAATAAAGCTTGGGGATCTTGATTTTGGCCTGGCCCAGCCCTGGCCTTCGCAGCCATCTAGAGAGTGAATAAAGGGTTGGAAGATCTCTCCCTGTCTGTTTCTCCCTCTCCATCCCTCCCTCTTTGTCTCCATCTGTAACTGTTACTTCCAAATAAATCAATCTTTAAAAAAAATAATTCAACAAGTAGTAAGTAGAAAAACCATTTTTCCTCAGGAGCATAGACAAGGGCTATAAACAATAATCAGATTTCAAAATGTCAATTTCACCCATATACATTAACTTTTTTTCATGATCCATATTTCCCATGAACTTTTTGACGATCCTCTGTATTGAAAACTTTGAAAATGTTTTATTACTATAAAGAGAACTGGTTTCATATAGTTCATAGATACAATTCTAAGAATATAATGACACTTCCTTTCCTCCCTCCCTCCATTCCCCTTCCTTCCTTTCTTTTTATTTCTTTTAATTTTCACAATAATATGTTTTTAATTTACTTTATCTACCAGGGTAGATTGATTTTTCATATAAGAAACAGAAACTGGGGTCAGTGTGTATGATGTTTTGAATCATAGGTAAAAATACATTGGGTTGGGTTAACATTTTTAATAGAATAAGATCATTTTCTTACTATTTTCTGTTGATGTTTTATCATTCTCCTGGGAGATGAGCTCACTCTTCTTTTTTCCTCAGACCTGCAGCACCATCCACCCCCTCTTCACTCTTAGCTGATACCCCTCCAATTCCAGTGATAAAATGGCAAGCATCACAAGAGAACATAATAAATCCATCATATTTTTCAAAATATTTATTTATTTGAGAGAGAGAGAGAATGAAAATCATCCTTCTGCTGGTTCATCCACTCCATAATCACAACAGCCAGACAACTAGGGCTAGGGCTGGCCAGGCCAAGCCTGGAGCCAGGAATTCCATCCAAAAATCTCACGTGGTTAGCAGGGCCTCAAGTACTTGAAGTATCATCTGCTGATTCATAGGTGCATTAGCAGTGAGCTGGATCAGAAGTAGAGTAGCAGGGGCTTGAACTGGACTCTGAAATAGGATGCATCTAAAGCAAAGGCTTAACCCACTGGGCCACAACACTTGCATCCTCTCCATCATATTTATTAATTCTTTGGCAGTGCCCCACACTCTATCTTTCCCTCATATTTCTATAAGTAGACTGCCCATGTGCCCTTTCTTAGGCCAACCCCTCTACCACATTGTCTCACTCTCAAGCAGGTAACTTGTGTTCCAATTCTTTCAAACTATTCAGTGTTCTGTGGACACATCCATCTTCCATACTCTCATGTTATTTCTTCTGCTTAGTATGTCCAACTTAGGTTTACCCAGTAAGTGGCTACTTGAACTTGATCACTCCACTCTGTCAACTCCTATTCATTTGAAGTCTTCTCTGCAGAGCTCCTTATGACCCTACATTGAGAGTATTTTTAAATTTTATATATTTTTATTTATTTATTTTATTTGACAAGCAGAGAGACAGACATAGAGAAAAACAGAGATGGAGACAGAGAGACTTCCCATTCATTGGTTCGCTTCCCAACTGTCCAGGAGGCAGGAACTTCAAATCTTCCACATGGATTGATCTATCACCTGTTGCCTCATGCACACTAACAAGCAGCTGCAGAGGTCAGCCTGGGCCTCAAACCCAGGCACCGCAATATGGGATGCAGGTGTTGCACACTGCAGCCCAACTGCTGAGCTATGTGCCTTCTCTATGATTTGTACCCATCAGTCTTATTACCTCCATTTGTGAATGCTGTGGTTTGGGACCACAGCACTATTTGTGTGTGTCATACCCAGGATATAAGGTGGAGCCTCACATTATAGATAATATGAATGACCACAAGAGAAATCAAGAATAAGTGCATCTTGGATAGGAAATAGAGTAAAGGTATCCATATTGTTGTAGAGCCTTCAGGTCATGGCAGAGAAGTTTCAGTTTCATCCTGTGGAAATGACTACAGGGATGATTTGTAGCACTTAGGAAGGTGAACCCAAAGGCAGTGTACAAGTTTGTAGTTGAAAGAGGGAGAAAATAAAAGTGGAGGTCAATGAGAAAAGGTTCTATCATCTATGAGAATAGAATAGCTGGATGGTAGTAAGTATAATGATTGAAGTAGTGTATAATTCTTTTTATGCAAAATCCAAAAGTATATAAATTAATCTATAGTGACATAAAACAGAAAAGTGGTTGATGGCAGATGGGGTAGAATGAGGATTGGCAAAGTGCACAAGAAACCAGGACGATGGAAATGTTCAACATCTTGATTAATTCACAGGTGCATATCTGTCAGACTCACCAATTGGTACTTGAAATATGTGTAGTTTTTATACATAAATTACAAGTCAACAAAGATGCCGAAAACCTTTAAAAAAGAATGCTAAGTGAGGAATTTGAGAAGCTTTGCAGCAGTAGAGTGTGCACCAGAACTTGGCAATTAATTAATTATATAAATAAAAAAAGCAAGAATACATTAAATATGACTCAGGATTTTACTTCAAGAAGAAGAAAAGTAAAGTGAAATCTAAAATATATAATTTGGGGAGAAAAGTGGTGAATTTTCCTATCTTGAATTTATATTTACATTTCCAGTACCCAACTACAGAAGTCAAACTGTTGGAAAACTGAGGAGCCACAGTTGGTGATACACATTGAGGACTCATCAAAAAGCCAGTGACTTAACCAGCTGTGCTATAATGCTGCCCCCTTCCTGTACATTTTTACCACCTTGTTTCTTTTCACAGTTCAGATATTTTTCCCAGTTTTAGCTACTTTTAACTCATAATCTAAAAATGTTAGAAATTATAACTTGTTTTTAAGTTGCTTAAAAAGTAACTCATTTATTAGTCAATTTCTGGTAGTTCAAACATAAATTTCTTTTCTGAAAAATCACATAAGAAATTACTGGCAAAGGATACAAAATATAAATTATATTTTGTTATTAAAAAAATCCTAGACTTAAACGTCTGAGTGTCACCTTGACAAGGATCTGAAACAAAGCCACCTTCTGAGATTTTGTTCCCATTCTATCATACAGGTTTCATGCTAAGAAAAAAAATGAAATTGTTAAGTTTTGGTTTTAAGTCCTTAGGCCTACTTCTGATGTATTCCTTTTCTTCCTTTTAACTATCAGGTACTCACACACAGCCTCTAAGTTCTCATCAAATGCATTGGCAGAGTCAATCATGTTTCAAGATCCCTCCAAATCTCTTTGCCATGTGATCAGATTAATGACACATTCTGAAAATCTGGTCACTAAATTGGAGCTTAGACATTTCCAAGTAACCAGGAAATTTTAGAAACAAGTCCTAATCTTTTGAAATCTTTCAGGTTGAGGGCTTCACACAGGGATAACATTTTGAAGGATAAGAAGTTGACTTAAAAACAATCCACTCAACATAAAGGTGATGATATGTCACAAGCAAAGCCAAACCAAAGAATGATGCTGTTTCTGCTCTACTTATGAATGCATGTGATCACTCTTTTATTGGATG